GCGGGGGGGGGAACGGGTTCCATGTGTTTTTTATATGTTCCCCGACCCCCCCCCACTGGAAACGGAGGGCAAATTCAGGCCTTCGGGTTGGGTTGGGGTGTTTTGGTGGGTGGTGACCCACAGCCGACGGTGGCCGCTGTTGGGCAGGCGGCGTTCTGCCCCAAGCGGGCCACGTCCGCGGCGGCACCGACAGCGAGCCCTGCTCACAACGACCAAGACACGCCGTCGGCCTTCGTGCCCCGAGGCGCAGCACGCGAACCGTGGCGGGTGGACACTGAGCTCAGCACGCAGACGGAGCTCGAAGTCGGGCCTCTCCCTAGGGCGAGGCCCGACTTAGAGCTGCCCCGAGTGGCCAGAGTGCAGTCAATCCCCGAGGGTCCCCGAGGAGAGGGCCCCGACAGGGCGCGGCGGCCCCCCCCCACCTGTGCGAGCCGACAGCGTCGCCCTCACGCACGTCGGCGGCTGCAGGAGAAAAGAAGAGGTGTCGAGAAGAGGAGGAGGAGGAGGAGGAGGAGGAGGAGGAGGAGGAGGAGGAGGACGTGTCGAGAAGAGGAGGAGGATGAGGAGGAGGAGGGGGATGAGGAGGGGGAGGAGGAGGGGGACGAGGAGGAGGAAGAGGAGAAGAAGGGGGAGGAGGAGGGGGAGGAGGCGGAGGTTCGGCTGATGGACAAAATCCTGCACCTTTTAAAAAAATTTGTGTGTTCGCCCCCCGCGCCCCAATTGAATGATTGGCAGGCTGTGGCGCGACTTGTCGATCTGCCGGCTGGCCTAAATCCTGCACCCCGCGGGCGCAGCCAGTCAACGTTGAATCGGGGGCAGGGGGGCGCGTGGAAGTTTGCGCCGACGCTCCAGTTGCGCAGCTGGTGCCTGATTTTGACCATAAACCGTTTCTCCTCTTCCTGCTCCTGATCATGACCACAGCCACCGTAACCATGATCATCATCAGCATCAGTTATCGCAATAGTGATCGTCATCAGCATCGTCATCATCGTCATTGTCATCATCAGCAGCAGCAGTATCAACATCATCATCATCATCATCCTCATCATCATCATCATCATCATCATCATCATCATCATCGTCATCATCAACATCATCACCACCATCATCAGCATCAGTGCCGTCATCATATTCGTCGTCATCAGCATCAGCATCACCAGCATCGTCATCATCAGCATCATCAGCAGCATCAGCATCATCATCACCATCCTCGTCATGATCACCAGCATCATCATCATCATCACCATCAGAATCATCATCATCGTCAGCAGCCTCATCATAACCACCACCATCACCACCACCACCATCATCATCATCAACATCATCAGCATCATCATCATCATCATCTGATTCACCATCATCAGCATCATAAGCAGTAATATCACCATCATCAGCATCAGCAGCAGCATCAGCATCACCATCAGCATCATCATCACAATCAGCATCGTCGTCGTCACCATTATCAGCATCATCATCATCGTCATCATCATCATCATCATCAGCAGCAGCATTACAAGCAGCAGCGTCATCTTTGGCGCCGTCAGCAACAACAGCAGCCGCATCATCATCATCATCATCATCATCATCATCATCATCATCAGCATCATCATCATCATCATCATCATCATCATCATCATCATCATCAT